CAGATAAAAAGTCTTTAATCAGATTTGAGGTGTATATGTTAAAATAATTGAGTCATTCGTAGCAATGAATTTATCATTGTAATCAGTTGTATGAAATCAATTTATTCAAGTAAATTTTCCTATAAATGTTTTTTGTCAGAATAATATTGGTTTAAATTCATTAAATAAAGTATACAATTTATAGTTGATCGTGTTTGCATTGCGTTTTTACAACGTTATCAATGTCTCAATAAACAATTGCAGTAATACGTTAGAAGGATGGTTTTAATATAGAAATGAGATGACATAACTCGTGAGAAAAAGTGAATAAAAGTAATAGGCTGACGACATCGATAGATTGTGGAACGAAATTAAACCTGATTTTCATTGATTCCATCTGTTTAAATTGTATTTGCCTTTTGTGTTTCTTCTTGAAATGTTTATACTTTTAGAATCAATAATAACTGTAAAATAGGACTCTTTATCTTAATCAAGCTCGTGAGAAAAACGAATTACAGTTTAGGCTGACGGTTTTGGAAAGATTGTAGAAAGAAGAAAGTCTAATTTTCACCTGTTAATTTGATCAATAGTACTGTCCTGTTTTTCTTTCGTCTTGAAATTCATGAACTATTAGAATAAATAATAACTATAAAAATAGGACTTTTTATCTCAAGCTGTTAGAATTTTTGTGCTTTCTAAAATGCCATATTTTCGACTAATATACACTAATATACATAATGCATAGGGACTTCATTCTATCTGTTTACATGCATCTTCATATATACTCATATTCCTCTTTGTTAAACTGAGAGAACTGGCTTCCATAACTTTATATGTCACTTTTATTTTGATGTTCGCTGAAGTCTCTTCAGCTAACAGAACTGTCATTTTTACATTTAAACACACCCCTGGAAAACAATTACGAAGCGAGTCGCTACTAGCTTTTTTTAAAGCTAACCTTGTCTTGGTATAACTTGGTATAAAATATGATAAACAAGATCAACGAGGAAAGGAGGCGTTCAATGAACGCAACCCCCACCCGACTCAAAACCAAGAGCCAGTGGCAAGGAACCCAAGAGGACCCCCAAACAAAAACAGGACAGGGCACAAGGGCATGGGCAGGCTAACCACTAAAATCATAAATAATTAGTAACTGATAAGGAACTAACAGAAAAACAAATAAATGATTGAATAGGCCCATAAAGTCAAAGGGCCCAGGGGAAATTCAATGAACGCAACCAATTCAATGAACGAAAGTTTTACTTTCAAAAGCAACGTGATAAGAAGTCTCCACAGATATGAGCGCATAAATTGAAACCAAAACTTATTATCAAATCAAAGGATTCCCAAGTCCACTGTTCGTGGTTTCAGTTCAAAAACATTATTTTCTTGTTTTTGCAATTGCACAATTGCACTTCGTTACAGATTTATATTCATTTATGTTTAGGAGTTTTTGTCTGATCTGAAAGTGAGTCAAGTAACATTACGTCATTTGTTTCTGTTAAACGTCGTACACAGCCTGTCGAAAGAACAATCATCACTCCACAGATGAAATACATTGTTCCAGGTAAAATTCCATCCTGTAAAAGATGTTAAACGAGATAGCTTTTATATCAAAGGTGGTCCTTTGTGTTGTTAAAATAATATCATAACATGACGTCATGCCAACAAGTTACTTATTTGAAGTTACAAATTGCAATTTTATAATCCATATACAGAGAAGAACGAACTTATGTCCTACTAATCAAATTCATTAAATGTAGATAGACCAGGAATGAGAATACTTTAAATAATATCGTTGTAAATAACTTGACATTTTTAAATGTGAGTATTCCATGTAAATACAAATTAATGATCTGACAAAGTATTTACGAAATTTATTTTACTCGATCTAATGTCAAAATTAATTTGAATTCCATACCGTTAAGCATACATTTTGAAGATTGTTTCAGTGTTTGCTTTTGTGCATACTAAGTACACAGGGCGGAATTTAAAAATGTGAGTTAACAAATCTAAATAATAACCACTCAGCCCAAGGCATATGTTTTAAATCCTAGTGGATCATAACTCAAATGGGCTATTTGATTTTGTTTATTATTTCCATTATAAAAAGACCTTACATCAAAAAAATATCATATTAGCATTTATGGGACTTTTTACCATGTAAAATAACAAACCAGTTCTAGAAATCCAGAACAATGAAATTTCTATGTTATGTAACCCTAATGTGTGTAACCATATTCTTTTTCAATCAGTCCAGTTAACAGAATAGACGTTAAACAATATCAAATAGACACAGTAAAAAGTTAACTTAATAGGTATTTTTATTAGCAAAATCCAACTTATTCAAAATTAGCAAATGAAATCACTTTAATTTACAAACACAAGATTGTAGATAAATCAGAACCGGGGAAAACAATCGCGCCAATTCTTTCCAATTGTCGACAAAAATCCATACCTATTCCCCTGAAAAATATTCATTAAGTATGATGAAACGCTTAAATGTATAAAAATGTCAAATTAGAGGTCTTCTTTTTTAACTTTTTTGATCATTTTTTTTCAATATGTACGTTTTATATACGAGTATGCCTCTGATTAGAACAAATAATAAATCTTAATATGAGGGTTTAACCTCTTAGAACCATCATTTTTCTTGATTTTATTGTGTGTTACTCGCTATTCATGCTACCAAACTCACCGTTTCTATAAGAATGAATGGTTTGAAAATGAGGAGAGAATAAATATGCGATTGCCTTTCTCACATTTATACTGTAGATACAGTTCAGTTGGATATAATGAGTGCATAAATAACCCTTTCCAGTTCATTTCGCAAGGGCCTAATACTAAAAGATTTGTTGACGTAAATGAATGACTGCTGAGGTTCCTGAATTCGAAATATATAATCAATTGTTTTTTTTATAAAAACAAACTAAATAAAAAATGGTAGACTGACCATTTAGCACTGGTCAATTTCACAATATTGAAACTTTACAATAATTGCTAAACCCACATATCATTATATTCAAAGACGCTATTCTCACTTTAATTTCCCTCACATCTAGGTTAGGTTAAAGAAAGTGCTTTAACTGCATTTTCTTAGTAAAATAGCTTGCTCGTATTCAATCTGTGCGTTTTTATTGAATTTGTGGTTTACCATTCATCTGTTAAATGTTGAAATCTGCATAAGCCAGTGCAAGGGACGTGTACGATAGTTTGCACTTGACAGTACCGTTCATGAACATGCTCAATTCAACCGAGCCTGCAACATTTCTTTCTTTAGCTAAGGAATTTATGTTTTTTCTCTTATTTATTTATGATATATATATATAAAGCTTTAGATAACATCTCGATAACAATACCATAATGTTGCAAAACGCCTGATATTCCACTGAATATACCAGAAGTCACAGAAAAGAAACACAAAATATTTCTTTTTCTACCAATCTGAAGAAAATAACTTTGAGTTAAATGATTATAATATGTTTGTTGTGGAACAATAATAAAAGTGAACGTATTTTATAAATATGAGTTGTAACTCTGTTGGCGGTTGTGTGTTGTAAAAAGCTTCAGAACGCGATACTTTTGCTTCACATGATAAAAACTAGAATTTAAAATAAATTAAAGCTATTTCCGGGTTAAAACTCAGTCTTATTAAGTCCATATGAAAATGTTCTTTGTTTTCTTAGTTTACCATTTATAGAATACTAGTATTACGTAGTTACAAAACACAATTATCTACCCGGTTGAAAGATAGTTGATACAGATAAATAAAAATACTCATTGTTTTAATCTAAGACTTATGAAAGTGTTAAAGGTAAACATTAAGTATAACTGCGATATTGTATGAAGCAGTTTGTTGAATTTATCACATAACAATAAAAACAATATATAATTACAAACGAATTGTAAAGTAGCTCAAGAAATGGATTAGAATATATTTTCTTAAAAAAGGTTGTGTTTTTTTTGTTAGAAAGAGTCATTACTGATTGGTGAAATTGTGATATCAATATGTGGGTCTATTGGCGCATTCTTATATGCATTTCTAATCAGTCAAAATAAAAGAAGAACAATCGATAAATAGAACAAATTGTTATGCAAGTATAAATCAACACAAATAGTGACATTCGCATATTATAAATATTGTATAAAGAGCATTTGTATGAACTTCTCACAACTATCCTGTTGGATATTAAGAATAGACTTCAAAATGAAAACAAATGAAGTTTTAAAACTTGTATATACCTATTCATAAGAGGAGCAGTGACAGAAACGGAGGGTAAGTCAACAAGATTAACAAGAAATATTGTCAAATAAATGTTAACAGGAAAAACTCTCCATTCCTAAAGCCATACAAAACCACGAACCGGCAAATTTGCAAAACCTACAAAAACAAGAACTCAGCAAACATTTTACTGAATAGATATTAATTTCTCTTTCAATCACAATTTTTCTGGCGGAAATATGGAGGATGTGATTAAACGATATATCAAATAACAAGCGTTAGATTTCATTTCCTATTCAATGAATATTATAGGGGCGTCCGTGGCCGAGTGGTTAAGGACGTTGACTTCAAACCACTTGCCCCTCACCGCTGTAGGTTCGAATCCCGACCGGGACTTTGGATTCTTTCATGTGAGGAAGCTATCAAGCTAGCTTACGGAACGTCGGTGGTTCTACTCAGGTGCCCGTTCGTGCCTGAAATAATGTGCGGAAGGACACATGAGGTCTTCCTTCACCAGTAAAGCTGGAACGTCGCGATATGACCTATACTGTGTCGATGTGACGTAAAATCCCAAAACAAACAAACAATGAATATTATAACCGATTTTCGATGAGACCAGATTCAGCTGAAATATTGAACATACATTTATTTAATTAATGAATGCTTAATGGCGATCTCATGTCAGATATGCAAATCATTATCTACGATTATGTATTTAAGCACAAATCAAGGTACTCGCCAAGGTAGTATTAACGCAATTAAATGTACAACATATATGCTTAAGCAATTTATGAAAACTTTAAGGTACTTGCCAGGGTACTGCTAAGGATAACGTTATTATTCGGAGGTCTTTGTTTGACCACAATATGGTGAATGAAAATGGTGATATATTTTCATCTGACGTTGCTGCAATTTCCTTTTTAGCTGCTTCAAATAAACCCTGAGGATCTGGTTTAATTACTCCATTGACATTCGCCACAAAGCCTATCGATTGTTCAGCACGCTCAAATTTCATTTTAGAAACCAACCATCTGAAACTTTCAGGTATAAAGCTGAAATTTGCAAAATATATTTAGTTATATCTTTTTTACTTGAATGATGTATACACATCGATACAAAATTGTTTATATTCTTTGTTTGGGAATCTACTGTAAATGGAACAGTCCAATCAGTTTATGAAAAGAATAAATACCGATATTATCCATGCTTATATTGCATTTGTTTTGTTTGGTTTTTACGACGCATCAACACAATGTTGTTCATATAACACCGTAACAGGAAATACGATTTTAGCTCATCACGGGTGTAACAAACTAAAAGCAAGACCATGGGCCAAAACCACCTGACCTGCCGAAGCTAAGAGATGTATATACTACAGTTATTCAGACCAATTAAGTCGCCTCTTGCGATTACACAGGGATAAACGATATCTACAATACTGATGACTCAACCCATAAAGGCAACCCCGTAGCCACAAATTACGATCATACACACTACGGTATTTTGATTTTCATGTAAGCAAATGCTTATCAATTGTATCAACTTACATAACATTAAATGGAATATGGTGACAAAGTAAGCGAGCACGGTATGCTTGAATAATGTTTGGAAAATGGAAATTTCTTACCACAAATTCATCAAAAGGGGGATGCCTATAATTGTCTTAAGCAGATGAACACTCCTCCAATCATGTAACCAGTAGGTTATAAACGCAAATAGCATTGCAGATAAAGGCTCCGATGGAAAAGCTAATGCTATCGTCCGAAGTTTTGACGGTACAAATTCAGCAAGTATTGGCAGATCTACATTGAAGTAAATGCCAGCTCCTATACCGATGAAAAAACGAATAACAGAATACGACTTCCATGACTGAGAGAAATATCCACCGAAATTAAAAATAACCAGTAGTAAAACACTTGAAATAATTGATGGCTTGCGTCCGAGAGAGTCTGCCAATGGACCTGAAATGATGTTTCCGACAAGTACTCCTACCATCTGGAATGATGTTATAAATGCTACAATCCATCTTCTGTCACAAACTAGGTTCCACTTTTTTCAAAGAGAAAAGAAGACATTATATTTATTTTACAAAGATAGCGTTCCTCTTAAATTTGAAGCAAACTTATAAGAATATTACAACTGTAACGTTTGATTGTTGAAATGTTGCCATTTGAAAATAAAATTAACTAGCCGGATTAATAAAATGCCTCAGTCGTGACAACCTAGGTACATTCCATTTTTTTATTGAAATTTATTCTTACCTCTGAAATGACAGTTTTTATCCCTGTAGGAAACAAGTACGAACTGCATGTGGAATAGTTTCCAAACGAGCAAAGACGGTTTGTAGAAATTTCACTCATGTTTATGGAGGACAGTTTATTTGCATTGACATCGAGTTTTCGGCAAGTGAATCCTGGATCATAGCCAATAAAAGCCATACCAAGCAAACTCCAAGCTGCTAATATGACCGTTATGTGTATTAAAACACACAACAGTTTCTGTAGGGTACCGCATCCTCCAATATCTTCAATCAAACTATCTAGTCTAGAGCTGTACGACGACATTCTGAATATACATTAAAAAAATCACTGGAACTTTAGTACTTTATTTAAGCTATTTCTTACATGTCTTAAAGTATAGAGACATTTAATATTACCTCATCTTAATATCGGAGCTTTCTTTAAAACGTTTTATTATTCATTCTTTAAATGTTTAACTTTCATTTCCGTTTTAAATGCCTTCAAGTCGGTATAATTCTGTTTTCCCTTTTCTGTAATAAATTTTCCTGTTATTTAATTGTTTAAGACTTTTAAGTATGCCTTTTATTGTGGAAACCAAATTCGTAGCAAACAATGTTACACAAAAATGTATGTCATTTCAAATGTTGATTGCACCAAACAAAGAAATAACTATTATGCACGGCAACTTGTTAATCAAAATTGAATTATAAAAGTATCAAGAACTGTGTCACTCACCTACAGGCCATCTATTCTCCGAATATTTCTTTATTATTATAAAAACAATGTGTATATTGTGTACCAATATACGTGCAAACATCTCACCTATACATAGACCAATTCAAATTAAATTTTAAAAAATAACTTTAACATAAATCAATATTCTTGTTCAACACTTTGCATGATAATGTTTTATGGATTGTAATGTACATGCAGTTAACATTGTATTTTAGATTGGAGTAGCGTGATCAAGTTCTTTGTAATCAATGGAAAATATGACAATAGAAAAAGGACATGTAATAATTATACATGATTGTATTTACTAAAATTTGAATTGGTGGTATAAAAGTTTCACTAGAAAAGAGAAAAAGGGCAAAAACACCTGTGAAATACCCTCCAAAGAACCATTTTGCATTTTTGTTAGCTATATTGAAAGCCCAAAACTTATTGACATTTTACAAACAAAAAACTTTCGAAGCAACCTACGACTTGTAATTTAACTTTTACATAATATGTAAATGTATGTAAATTCACATAGAAAAAGTACACAACTTGCATAATAAACACCAATGGGATATTAAAAAGCAAACACTCATCAGACACTTTTAAACATAGTTACATAAAGGAACGATGAATAGTATGTATATTATAGAATAAGGTATTCTTATTTATTTACCTCCTACTATTGGAATCATTTTGGCAGTTATTCAAATCGTTACATATACAACATATTAATTTTAGATATAAAGATATTAACAATAACTTTTTACATAGAATAATGGGATTGATAAGAAATCAGGACAAAGTGTTTTGCTTTTAGATCACATGAAGCTCTTTATTTTAAACTATTATTTTTTTAAACTATTACTCTTTATTTTAAACTATTTTAATTTTCATGACCTAATTTTTTGAACAACTGATTAGCGTATGTTTTCTACATTGTGAACGGTTATCTGCACGTGAGCTTAACATTTACTGGTGCATTTTATTCTTTTTACATTTCTACAGTCAAATATTATCTCGTTAACATCCCGCCAACAACTTATTTGCATGTAGTGATTAATATATAGGATACATCTTTAACTTGCTTTGCTAAAATTACTTTTCCTTGTTTTTATCACTTTTATCAGACCTATTACTGGTCCGATAATTTCCGGTTGATGGTCCCCGACCAGATATCTTTTTGGGGGGAATAGCAGGTGTTCCGTTTTGAAGAAACATGGAACAACGTTAATGCACTTATAACATTACAAATACAACTTATTATATCAAATTACAATATCGTTAAATGCATTTTATAATATACATGTGATAGATGAATCTTTGATTAAACCAATTGTCTGGCCTTTCGAAGGATGAACATATATTTATTAAATACGTCAATGTTAACAAACTAATGATGAGCGATGAACAGGAGACAAATTGGTTTAGAAGTGATAAAAACGTGTCTGCTACAATGTTTTTCATTGATTCTTAACGATTATCAATAACGTTTAAGAGTTATTTTGCTTAAAGAATGTAAAGGCATCTCATATTTTTTTCTTCAAAACAGAAATTTGCTTTTTAGAAAAGATTAGTAAGTTAAGCATTTGCCTTTGTATGGCATTAAACAAACAAAGGCTTGCTTCGACTGTTGCAGTTAAGGTGAAGTAGTCTATTGATCAAGTTGATAGTATTTATAGTATTTAGTATCAGACATAACAGAAAGTTACTAAAGAAGCATAGATTACATTAAATTGTTGGTAAGTGAAAGATACATGATTTAAGATAACAGATCAATATATAGCAGATTATAAATTTTTCTAGTACAAAACATTATTATCAAAAGTATCATTGTTCTTACTAAATTGCTAAAAGTATCTAAATATAACATTCATTCCTTATGCCGTTTTGTAAATCAATGAACATCTTTAAAAATAATTTGATAAACAAAAATCGCTAAAGACATATTGAACGTTAGGTTGACAATCATACTGTGATAATAAGTTTAAATGGGGAGATTGTATTTTTCTCGTTGACATAAAGTATCCTTTTTGTTGGATCTGTAGACAATGATGCATTTTTTTCTCTTCTGTAAACCAATAGATTTTCGAGAAAACCGATCACAATTTATCATTATATATCTCCATCCGTAGAACAACTTTAGACTCTCACGATTAATTAAGTAATATGAAATAGCAATAATTTCCTTCTTTTATGTCGTAACACTACTTATCTTTTACGAGAATCTCATAAAGGCGCCAGAATGTAATTTTAAAAGATAATCACACTTCTTTACGGCTAAAACAGTTCCGACGCAAACCATTACGAATGAAAAACTTTACTTTTATGTGATGAAACGAGTTATTGGTTTATTTTGCGAAGAACAAAAATACATGACAGTACAGGTTAAAGATATAGTCATTGTATTTTAACAATAATTTCAAGACAGCTTAAACGATATGTACCACCCACAAAACAAAACTCGGTACCGTCTTCTTACTTATTCATTTTCTTGACTAAATAATTCAATATGTGTAAGCATTAATAATCGTTATGACATTATAAAATACACTGACATGTTATGTTCAATATTGAACGTGTTTTGTACAACTTGCTTAATTGAAACTTTACACACTTTGGTTCATTTAAACTTTAAAATGTCTACTATATGCGACAAAATATTTATTTATTTATTTATTTATTTATTTATTGACTATTTATTTAAGTATCATTTATTTAAGTCATCTTTGTAAAACAGTATAATGATATATAATAAACAATCCAACCTCATCAAACATTTACACAGCCATTCTGTATATGGATTATAAAATATATGAGAATCGTACTCACATGTAACTACTTGTCACTAAAATCAGGTAAATTATGTGGTAAAAAGATATTCCTATCAAATCAAAGGATTCCCAAATCCACTGTTCGAGGTTTCAGTTCAAAAACATTATTTTCTTGAGTTCACAAAACAATTGTACTTCTTTACAGATTTATATTCATTTGTTTTCAGGCGTTTTTGTCTGATCTGAAAGTGAGTCAAGTAATATTACTTCATTTGTTTCTGTTAAATTTCGAACACAACCTGTCGACAAAACAATCATGACTCCACAGATAATATACATTGTTCCAGGTAAAATTCCATCCTGTAAAAGATGTAAAGCGAGAGAGCTTTTATATCAAAGGTGGTCCATTGTGTTGTAAAAATAATATCATAACATTATGTCATGCCAACAAGTTACTTATTTGAAGTTACAAATTGCAATTTTATAATCCATATGCAGAGAAGAACAAACTTATGTCCTACTAATCAAATTCATTAAATGTAAATAGACCAGGAATGAGAATACTTTAAATAATTGTTGTAAATAACTTGACATTTTTAAATGTGAGTATTCCATGTAAATACAAATTAATGGTCTGACAACGTCTTTACGAAATTTATTTTACTAATGTCAAAATCAATTTAAAATTCATACAGTTAATCATACATTTTGAAGATTTTTCAGTGTTTATTTTTGTGCATACTAAGTACACAGGGTGGAATTTAAAAATGTGAGTTAACATGGTATCAAATCTAAATAATAACCACTCAGCCCATATGTTTTAAATCCTAGTTGATCATAACTCAAATGGGCTATTTGATCTTGTTTATTATTTCCATTATAAAAAACCTTACCTAAAAAAATATCATATAAATATTAGCGTGTATGGGACTTTTTACCATGTAAAATAACAAACCAATTCTAAAAATCCAGAATAAAGAAATTTCTATGTTATGTAACCCTAATGTGTGTAACCATATTCTTTTTCAATCAGTCCACTTAACAGAATAGACGTTAAACAACATCAAATAGACACAGTAAAAGTTAACTTAATATGTATTTTTACTAGCAAAATCCAACTTATTCAAAATAAGCAAATGAAATCACTATAATTTACAAACCAGAAAAATCAGAACCGGGGAAACAATCGCGCCAATTCTTCCAATTGTCGACAAAAATCCATATCCTATTCCCCTGAAAAATATTCATTAAAGTATGATGAAACGCTTATTAATGCATAAAATGTCAATTAAGAGGTCTCTTTTTGAACTTTTTTGATCACTTTTTTTTCAATATGTACCTTTTATATACGAGGATGTCTCTGATTAGAACAAATAATACATCTTAATATGAGGGTTTAACCTCTTAGAACCATCATTTGTCTTGATTTTATTGTGTGTTACTCGCTATTCATGCTACCAAACTCACCGTTTCTTTAAGAAAATTTTGACATTATAGTAAACAAACCACAGGTATAGAAAACATAACATAACAATGGTTTTATTGTGGATTTTTACATAATTGTCATGATAATTTGGTCACAGGATACTCCTCATTGTGCAATTACATATAATTTAATGTTTTTGTTTTGTTTTTTTGGGATGGACTTGGCTGGACTTAACTTAAGAAGAAAATTGATCAACAAAATTGTAATAGAATTGAAAATAAGGTTAAATAAGTTAGCAAATTTCGTTTTTAAAATTGTGCAATATATCGTCCCTGTGCCCTTAAATAACTTAAAAAAGAATATAATAAGAAAATTGTGCACATCGTCAAAGAAACGGAGAGTGTAAA